CTCTTCAGTGTCTTGTGTCTCTTCTACAGAACCATATCCTCCATCCCACTCTTTATCTCCCACACACGCTTCTTTCAGCTTGTGCCTACCAGGCACACTGTTCAACACATTTACTGTTGATTAACAGTCAAATAACAAAGTACAGTTTATTATTGACTGCCCCTTTTAGTACATCTTTTGCTTTTGATTCTGCAAGTATATTCTCAAAGAAAAGGAAGAATCTGTGGCTTAAATCTTTTTTTTAGCATGCATTTAAGTGTTGGATGCTAAAGCACAACAGAGAGCTTGTGATGGTCTTGGCTGTGTCAGATGCAGTTGTTTAGAATAGTTGTTCAGAATTTTAGTTCATGTTGTGCTGCAACAATTAAGCCTCTCTGTGTGCTTTGTGCATCTGTGTCCATGGTTTGTGTGAAGAAATGACCATGTTATGAAACAGGAGAACCAGGGAGTTTATCATTTGAGTGTCAGCTTGTACCTCCTGAACCAGCTGTTTATTTGAGGAGCACTTTGGATGTGTTTGCAAGTACATGTGTTAGGAGGCATTTTGCATAGCCAAAGGTGTGTGAGATACTCACTTTGGGCTAGAAGATGACAGCTGGACCTGGTAGAAGGCTGTGACTCTTTGGAAGCCACTCTTTGGCTGGGAAGAACATATTTGAGGGTTTAGAGATGTACAGTCGCCTCTATTCCAGCAACTGCCTCTTACTCTTGGTATCCACCCATTAAAAAGAGAAAACAAAGAATAATTTAATTTAATTAAACTTGCATTCCTCTGACTAGTGCAATACCAAAGGTCTTTTTTCTACAGTTTTTTTGTCTCCTGCCTTGCTCCTGGAGGCCGTGGCGGTGGTTCTCCATGTCCTCCCTCTCTCCTGACTCAGTTGTACATTAGTAAGGAGACTACCACTCCTGACACCCTGGTCTTGAACTTGTGGGGATTTCCTGTGTCAGACTTAAAAGTTCATTGCCATTTTCCAGAGGGTCAGAAGGAACTGAAGAGGACAAGGAGGCACAGCAGCAGTACCTCCACACAAGCAGGAAAGACAAAATCTATTGGTTAAGCTGGTCCAGTAGATCCCCCTGCCATGACTAGTTATAATGCTCAGCTGCTTTTTTTTAGCTGTCTCTACAAAACTCAACATTTTCATATACTGTAAAAAGAAGTCTTCTCATTATGTCTCCATTTTGTATCTTAGATACATTTCAGCAAAACATTTGAGCAAAGCAAGCTTTGTTTTTTCACATTCCCTCTCCAGTTCATGCTCTTCTGAGCGTTCTTTCTTCTGTCTATGCCTAGTAACTAGAATCTGCTCCCATTCTCAGTGGGATGATGCCTTTGACATCCTGGGTAAAAGAAACCTGTTAGCAATAACTAACAAGCAAGAAACTAAGTTGAGCTCTGAGTCTTGCTCTTGCTGTTTATTCAAAGATTTGAATCTGTTTGTAGATCCAGACTTTAAAAAGTGTCCATCACCTGAGAATTAATATACTACAAAAGGGCTGATACCTGTTATTTCATCAGAATCTCTTTAGATGAAGTGACATTACCCTCACAGTTCCTGCACAGGGCAGCTGACAAGGGTGCACTGTGAGCTGGGAATTTGGGATATGCAGTCTGAGCACCATTAGGAGACCTCCTTGTCTCAGAGAGAGTAAGCTGACTAGGGAAACACTACAGAAAACACTTTGTTTTCTGTACTATTTATCAGTGTTTATCCCTGTTTCTTATGTATTTGAAATATAAGACTAATAAAATACCTTTTTTTACCATATTAAACACCTACACTAATTTACAGATATGTTAAATAAAAATTGATTTTCTCAATAGTTATACTTTCACAAAACTTTATTTCTTTTTCAGAAATGAAACTGTGTACATTTATTTAAATTTTCAGTTATTTCAAAATTATCTTTGTCTTTTAAAAATTTATATTTCCAAATTTTAATTAAAAATCTTTAATTAGAGTGTCATTTATGTCTGATAAACTGGGGGAATGATGCTGGAGACATTTTCAAATCATATTCTATTAAAAATAGATATGTTTCTGAGTGTTAAAAAAACTGTAAAAATCCTCCTTATTTACTCTTGTATTTTAGATCTTTCTCTGAATGTATGTTTTTTAAGATACTTACTGTTGCTTGGAGGAAGATCCGTTTCTTCCCCCTGCGCCCCCCCCTTATTTCTGCAGAATGACTTTCTTTTTAAACACTGGGACTTTTGTTATGTTAATCAGCCAGGGAACATTTCCAATTCAATTTTACCTGAGCGCTGGTCAGCTAGAGTTTCCTTTGTTTGATGTCCCTTGAGTCTTCCCTTGTCTTTTAAACTGTAATTTAGTTGGAGCTGCTGTCAATTTACTCCGTCCATTACATTTGCAGTGATATTCCAGACATTGTCTTCTATTCAGTCCTAGAGAAGTTTCTTGACCTAAACAAAGTGTGCAGGATAAAATCCTATAGAAATTGGAAGTACAAGCACAGAACTCCTGTTTGCCTATGTGCAATACATGCATACAAATAAAATTGTAGCTACCTACCAAGATTATTGCCAATTTTTAAAAAATCTAGCAGATCCTTACACTCAAGACAGCTACCAAATGGTAATTAATTAGGATTTGCAATGAAGTGGCCATGTTCCATACAACTAGGCAGCCAGCTTTCTCTCTGCTCTGCCTTGCCTCTGCAGCATGGGGATTTTAAACCCTGCTACTTTGTAACTCCACAGATCAGACCTTAATGCTACGAGGTGAGGGGTTTTTATAATAATTACCACCTGTCATGGAATTCAACAAATAGAACCATTTTCTTGCCCTTAGTCCACATCACCAAGGTGTGCCTGGTGGAAAATTGTTGTTTTGAGCAGTGGTTTGCAGTGGGACAAGAAGAGCAAAAGCCCCAGAAAAAGGGTATTAGAGCCAGTAGCACTTCTATACTGAGCTACCTCAACTGAGGGTGATGCCAATGTCTGTGGCAGCAGAAAGGGAAAGTATTGCCTAGATGAGCTCCCATGTGAGCCTCTGAAAGATGTGATGTAAGAGAATGGAGAGATCAAAGGTAAAACACTGGAATCCTTTCCTATATCCTTTCCTGCAGTTAAATGACAAATAAGAGAATAAAACTTCCAGCTCATGGAAAAAGAGAGAGTAGGGACTTTGTGAAACTCAAGAGAGAAGGAAGCAGGTGGAAGTATGTCATACATGTCACTCTGAGGCTCTAGAGGCTTTACAAAGAAGCTGAATTGTCTTTTCTATAAAGCTTCTCAGCCTGGCTAGGGTAGCTCTTAGAGAACCCTGCTTTGCTGGCATTGTGCTCCCACGCCTTGGATGGGCAGCAGGTGATGTGTTGGCAGCTGGATACTCTGAGGGAGGTTCCTGAGAAACCTGAGGTTTGGGATATGTGTTGAGTCAGGGGCCAAACCACATTCCTCCGGCAGAGCGCTCTGGGAAGTTTTGCATTGGCATCATCCAGGTGTTTCTGTCATTGTGAATCCAGTCCATTTGAGGGACTATCAATCCATCCCCAAAAGGCTACAGATCCACATTCACCAGGAACAGGAGTCTCCCATTTCAAACAACAGCAGTCTGGCCTGATCTTTCATTGCCTGGTTACGTGTAATTCCTCTTGTGTTGAAATTGGTTGTAAAGGTACAGTACACTTGGCTTCTTGGAGGCAAGGGAGGTTCCATTTATCTGCGTTAACTGAAGAATAAAGAGAGGTCAGTCTGTTTCAGAAATGGTTCAGTGTTTCTGGATATTCTGCTCAGAATCTCTGCTTTTCCCATTTGGATTTATATGTACATCTGTTGGCAGCTTTTCCCCTTGAGGATAGGCTTTGGGAATGTCTTTAGGACAGCCAAATAATTAAGCTGTCAATTTATTCCATTGCCACTGGTGTGAAGCTTAAAAATAGGAAGTGATCAATAGTTAATGACAGAGAGGATGGAAGAGCAGGAGCTGCCTACCTTCTGGCAACAGGCTTGACAAAGTGACTGTTCTGATAGTGTGCAGGTACTTGTACTGCCCTAACCTTCATCAGCATTGCTTGTTGCAATTAACATGGGTCTTCCCCAGTATTTACCTTCCATCACTCACTCAGCAAAAAAAATTCTCAGATTGTTCTTCATTGTAAATTGTACTTGGTACCTGAAATCTGAAAAGAATTTGAAAAGGCTGAGTTATGGATTTCTTTTTCTTACCTGTTGGATTGGTTTTGGTTTTTCTTTAGTAAGGATGGGAAGTGGTCTGTGTGCTTGGTTTAATTGCATTCAGTCTGAGGAACGGATACACTTGTGTTCTGTACATGCTGCGTATTTAAACCTTGTGTCTGGATTTGCATTTCATTCTGTACAATCAATGAAACTTGCTTTAAAAGCCACCCCAAAATAGGAGAGCAGTTTCTGTAGACTAGTTCTCTAGGTAGGACAGGTAACATATTGCAGAGCAGAAGCTGAGCAGTGGGTCTCAGGGATACCCTTCAGCTAAGATGAACTGGGAGGTTCCCTGCGCCCATAGACTTTCTGCAGGGGATCTGTCAGCTCAGGTAATTTGTTGTATTGTGTTATTTGTTTTCTCCCTGTATTTCCCTCATTTATGGTTTCATCCCAAGTTGTCTCCCCTTCCCTAAATGTCAATCCCATTCCCAATACTTCCAAATCCCTAGAAATTTCCTTGTCAATCTCCATATCCCCTCCCTGGCACATTGTCACTTGACTCTCCAGCCCCTCTCTCTAGAAGCTTCCACGAAGAGCATCGAGTGACTGGCCAAGGGCCAAGGGTCTCCCCTCCTCAGCTCCCCGATATGTTGTCCTGCTTGTCAATTACTTCATGTCCCACTTCCCTCTATCCCCCGTTTGTGGATAGCCAAACCCCCTCTTGTTTCCACCCCCTAAGAAAAGGAGCTGCTCCAGTCTCCTCTGGGGCTTTTCAGCGTTGTATCCCTGAGGCCAGGAGCTCTGTGGAGGTACCAATAAACCTTGGATTTGTACAACCTGGATTGTTTCCTCCCAGTTCCCTCACCATTGCCGACAGTGCCTTGGAGGAAAGGGCTCACAACCTCACAGCCCTTAGCTGCTCGTCCGTATTCCTGAGCATGGAAGGGCGGCCCCTGAGCCGCTGTGTCGGGGTGAGCAGGGAAGCACCAAGAAGACTCATGGTGGCCATTGTGGCAGTAATTCATGCATGCCTTGGTGTACTGGGGTCTGTAACTGGGAAGGCCAAAAGCATAACCAGGTCTAACCTTGGTTGATGGGAATTTTGGAATTGACTTCGGCTAAGCCAGGGTTTATTAGCTATGTTTAAGGGAAGCTCACATCCTGATGGTGTCTGGTGTTTACTGTCCAAGGGCAGCATTGGTCATTGACTGTCCTATGGTCATAGCATATCCTTTAAAATTGATTATTTGCTGGTTGCCGCACAAACAATAGAGGCTAGTTACTTACAGGGAACAGTTACTTACGTGTGGAGAGTAATTCTACGCCAAAGAGATTATTTATTTCTATCCCACCATTTATCTGGGCTATAATGATTTTATTCCCTTACAGCATACTTTGTGATGTAAATGCATGTTGGATGTCTGTGAGGTTTTAGCAATATGATTTAAATGTATGTTGTCTAGTATTTTTTCTGCTGCTTCCACAAACATCAAGAAAGGTGTTTTTTTATCTTTCAAACCTAACAGTACTACCAATATTTATGTGTGAAAGAAAAGATAAAATACATAATTATAACAAAAATAATTAGTATTAAACCAGTTTATCTTCAATAATATGGACTTTTTTGACAAGGTGATCTGAGAAGTACCATCAATGCTGCATATGTACCAAATTCTACATAAGGGGAAAGGATGTGTCACACAGGCCTTAAATGTTAATATGTAGTATGCCTGTAAAAAAACTTTGAAATATGGTTAATATTTATTGTGTGGCCTATTTAAAAACATCAGTGGAAGGAAATCACATTTTAGGTTAGTACAGAAGGAAAATAAGTTTGACTTTCCTAGGGAAAAAAAATCGTCTCTGCTGAAACCTAAGATTTGGTGCACCCTGCTGATTTTGGCAAAATGACTGTTGTTTCCTTTTTTCAAAACAATTCAAGTTATATTTCAGAATAAAGACTGTTTAACAAAATCAGTTGGGATAAGTTTTGTCTCCCTTGTTGTGTTTGCTGAATTTAATCTGAACTGATGATAAAGACTGTTTCAGCAATGACATCTGCTGAGCTCTCTTTGTAATTAAATCTATAAACTTCTGCCATGCCTCTGTACCGGCCTTTCCTGGAACCCACTGGGATCATATATTAGGAAGAGGCAGCTATGGCAGCACAAGAGAAGTAGAGGGCAGGCTGTGATAGAGATACTCCTGGTAAAGGCCACACGTGCCTGGCACTGACGGCTGCTCAAGGAATCTAATGGCTGACTTTGACCTTATGTTCCTCTTCTCCTCTTCTACAGCTGCTTCTTCATCCTGCCAACAGCTCTTGCTTTATCATTTGTATAATTATGATATCATAATTAGTGTTATTTCTCTCTTTCTAACCTTGCTGAGGTGATATTTTCACAAAATTGCTTTTCCTACTACTTCTTCAAGATTTCATCTCAGTATTCCTGTCATTGCCAGCAAAGAAGCAATGCTGGATTTAACTGTGGTGGTGTGTCTAGTGCATCCCAGAATCTTGGTTCCATAAGCAGATAGAGGTACTCTGAATAGTATATGAGTATGCTGAACAATCAGCCCTCTGACTGTGTGCCAGACTTGTGTTTGGTGGAGAACAGAGTGTTAGAAGAGAAGGGGAAATCTTTGTTTATCAAGTAGTGGATCACAGCATAAAAGAGCACTGAGATGCATTTTGGGCCTGTAAACTCTTGCATCCCTCAATTCATATTTAAGGAGAATCATCAAGGGTCATTTCCAGACATCCTTGGATGTGTTATTTCAGTTGTTTTGTTGTCAAATATTTGGTCTTCACAAAATGAAAACATTCTGGAAATTATCTGTTTCTTATCATGAGTGAATGGGTCCTCTTAGTCTCACTGGACTGAATCAAAAGAAGAGTCCTTCCTGTATGTTTTTTTTTTTTTTTTGTCACTTGGCAAGGGTTTGGAAAAGCTGATATGGTTCAGATAATAATGAAAATCCTGTTTAACAGACTAACCAAAACATACAAGCTAGCTGAATTTCTTCCTAGTGTACATCTACAGGTATTCTCTATCAGAAAATAGCAATTATTTAGCGCATGATGTACAGTGGCAACAGGGAGAAAAATGTTCCTGCCCAATGGAACATGCTGCAACACCTGTTTCATATCATGAAACCATTTGCAATTGCTACCAAAGAAGTGGGAGCTGAAATGTCATCATTAAATCTACTTCTGCCACTCATGTCTTTGTTGGAAAAAAGTCTCTGGGGAAGAGAAATAAAACATATTAAAAACACATTCATTCATTTTCCAGTATTTTCAATCTTTGAGCCATAGAAACAAGCAAATATTGATACTGTGCATAGTCAAAGAGCTGATAGTTACTTCCATGACTCTACTCTGACAACTAGTCATTAAATAGCCTTCCTTTTAATCTGGAAGATTATAACACAGTGCTATTTTAAAAGAAATCTCACATTGCTCTATTACCTGTCTTGGGCTCTACTCCTTGTAAAAAAAAAAAAAAAAAAAAATCATGTCTTTTAGTTTTTAATTGTTTCTATGTCAGTAAGTAGCTTTTGAACCTATTTTGTGCTTTAGGGTACTTAAATGGCCCTTACATGAGCACCTTTGCTGATAACTAGATGTAATTTGTGCCTCAGGCTTTCATGCTGCAGCCTGGACAAGGGAAACCCTGTACTCAGGAAATCCATGTTTTGCTATTTTGCTTTTCATCCAATTTTGGTTTGAGAAAAACTACCACTGGAAACTCATTATAGGGAAAAACCCCCAGTAACGTAAGTGGCTCTGAGGCACCTTTATGTAGCAGTGAAGCAGGGCCAGACTTGCAGACCAGTGGAGCCATCTGGTACTTTTGTCTGCATTAAAAGAGTACCCTATGGTCTGAAATACTTTAAACTTGAGGTCTGGGACCTGCAGTGAATCCACAGAAGTTATTTTTCTTAGGGCACATCATCTTATCCCTAGTTTAGAAAGAATTAATTCAACATTGTCTGTACAAAGTATTTCTAAGACATAACTTTTGTTGTCCAAAGCTGTTCATGGGAGTGATCTTCTGCACCTTGAGAGGGCAATTCCTCCAGCCATGGTCCCTCCATCCTGCTCTCAATATATTTAAAGTGGGTAGAAGGATGATGCTTTTCAGGCCACATTTTCATAAGTTGGGCGTATGGTACCTGTCTCCCAAACAGTAATAATACATCTTACCACTTCTGCTGCTGACCAGCAAACTTAGGCTTTCAATGGATTTTGTTCCTGTTATTTCTATGAAGAAGGGAATGTACAGAATATGACATTTCTGTTTCTGTACACTAAAGGAGTGCTGAAGTACTGTAACATTTAAACCACATGTTGCACCTTAATAGGTATAGTTGGCTAAATAACAGATTGGACTAAGGAGGTGATGCAGAGCTATAAAAGGGTGAATTTGATTGGAAAGGTGAGTTAACAAAAAATTTACAAGTGGGTGATGGCTTCACAACTGCAGGCTAAACCCACTGTTCTAGGAAATGCTAGGAAAGCTTGGTGAGAGACTTGGAAGAGAGCTCCAGACTGGTATTCATGGCTGAATCTTCTGATCTTAAATGACATGGGAAACAGAGGACAAGTGGGTAAATCTAAGATTAAGACCTCCCATGTGGCAGAAAGGCTAGCAATGAAATGTACAAAAGATGAGGTTTGAGAGGATTTTTGAGTGATAGTTTTGGAGTTATTTTGAAGGGGGTTTATGCAGTATTTGCTGTTTACACTGTTTGAACAGGACTGTTTGCTGATAACCCAAATTTACCCTCTAAATTCTCTGCTGAATCCTAAAACTATTTTTTGTTCTGCTGCTTAAGTGAGAAACAATTATTGCTACCAATAGCAAAGGCCACTTATGAGATTGCTATTTTCTTTCTAGGGTAAGCAGTTACCAATTTTTCCCTTCAAGCCAGTCCTTCTATGGTGAAACAGAGGGATAATGTGATGATTCTTATGACCACCATGGAAAACTGATTAAAAAGTAAATTTTCTCCTGTCATCATCCTTCTGTAGTGTTGTAAAGCTCCACTGTTGCCTTGGCTATCTTGTGGCAGGTCCCATTATTGCCGAGGCAGCACGGGGACAGGTACAGAGAACCACATGCCAGGTCATGAGTCAGTTTCTGGTGCAAAGGTGTGAAGTCATTTTAGCAGCATTGATGGGAATCATGCTGCCCCTGGGCTGGTGTGTGTTCTTGTGCTGCTGACACAAAGGAGTTGTGTTTTATTTTGGCTCAGGAGCACGTGTTTGAGACCATCAGCCTTTTGATTCCATGTAATGCACTGTGGTTCCCATTGCAGAGCAGCCTCCTGGAATGTGGATTATTTTTGGATTAAACTAGAAGGTGCATTCTGGGAATCACCTAATGCACTCCAACCGCTAACAGGCATGTTGTGTCTGGGAACAGAATAGGCCCAGTCAGAAATAAAACCACCTGAAAAATGCAGACTTCAGGTTCCCAGCACCAGCTGCTTCCCCTAAGAAATCTTCACCCTGCTTGCTCAATAATCACAGTTTATGTGAGCAGCAGGGGAAGGAGCAACACATGGATTTTTTCTGTAAAGGTGTCACACTATATTTAGCAAAGTGCTATCTTGGCTGCACCAACACATTACAGTTCAGCTGCCTATTGTGTTTTCTGTAGCTGTGCTTGGTGCACAATGGATGAGCATTTTATGGTTATATGCATATGTGTGTAAGTCTGTATGTATATATAAACATACACAAACCTACTGTTTGGATGTTTTAGAACATAAGGTAGCAAATTTTTAATCACAACATCCCTTTGTCATAATGCAAAACAAATTGGAGGTCAAAGTTATAATAATAAAACATCCATCCTGGAGCTTTTTAGAGGAACCTGTTTAAAAAGGTTAAAGTAAGCAATTATCACAACCCTAATTTACAACTACTTGGCAATAAGAGTTGCTTTTCAATGAACCATTTATTCATGATCTGCTGCTTCACACTGCAGGATTCTTCTTGACTAGGTTAGAAAATGTAATTAATAAATGATAGGATTATTTATGGTTCACAGTGCCAGATTGGAAAATACAATGATATACAGAATGAGCTAAAAACTATTCTTACAGGCAGCATCTTGGTTTTTAATCCATGGATTGGATTGTCACATTACTTGATATGCTGTGGTGAACTCCTGATGGTATTCATGGGACATTATTTTGTCATCCTAGCTGCTCTGTGTGACAATAAAAATGGACATGCTCCTTTGAGAACAGACTTAATGAACACTGACATGCTAATCTTTTTCTAGTTGAGGTAGGGTGGCATTTGTGGTTTTGCTTAGTTTGACTGTGTTAGTGATTATCTCAAAGCCCCAGTAGAACCTGGAAAATGTTTATATTTCATAAACATAAAATGATCCTCTTTGAGATTTTATTCTAGTAATGCTAGTTAAGGAAACACACCTGATAAATACAGACAGACTTTCTCGATTTCAAGTAGCAAAATTATGCTAAAATAGAATGATGTCAGCTCTAATATCTTTATTCATGGGCAAGGTGCCTGGCTGTGTGTGACTGAAGCTGAAATTTTGCTATGACCTTCAAAACCTCTAAGTTTCCTCTTACATCCAGGCCTAAGAGGAAAAGTATCCCAACTGATATTTAATTTAATTATTGTTATTAAGTATTAAGTTTCACAAGGAGAAAAATATTTTTTTGCACTGATTTATACACAGTCCAATAAAAAAACAGCAAAAAATCTGAATGTGAGGTGCAGTGGCTCTCGGCCATAATTCCCACTGGTAATATACTGGAGCTAATCAGTGAAATTCTAGAGTTTAGGTATAGGTTGAAACATACTGAGGATTGGTTCAAATTCCATTTTTTATCAGCTCAGATTCCTTTTAAAATGCTTTCCTATAGTAATTAGGATTGCCAACAGTGATTCTAGAATATATGTGCATGTAGTTGATACTTCCATGAGTGTCCTACTAAGATAATTTAAAAATGCCTTTAGGATTTAATGATGATTTGAATCCTGTGGCTTTAGAATTTCAAATGTCAATACAGGATATGTGAATAATGGATGAAACCCAGGAGATTTACAGAATCACAGAAGAGTTGAGGTTGGAGTTCGTCTCTGGAGGTCATTAAGTGCAAGCCCCCTGCTCAAGCAGGGTCAGCTACAGCAGGTTGCCCAGGACCACTTCCAGATAGATTTTGTATATTTTCAAGATTGATATTCCTCAGCTTCTCTGGACAACCTCTTCCAGGACAAATTAATACAGGTTTAATCATCATAACAACATTTCATTTTAAATATAGGTAAATTTATGCTTTCCTATGTGTACATTTGCACACAGATGCATATGATAAAATACTGGAATTTTATTTTTGTTCTTGCACTGAGATCAATTTATTACAGCATTGCTGGGTTATAGTTCTAAACATGAATTTGAGGTCAGGGGCTGCTTCTTCTATTGGAAGCAATGTTGCCTCCATTTACTCCTAAGCGTCCTGCGATTTTGTTTTAGGTTAAAAGCAAAATTTGAAACGCCAAATGGGTGCTTGAATTTATGCACAAATGTACAATAGAAAATGTCAAAAAAAAAAAAAAGGTTAAAAATGAAGGTGAAATAACAAATTTTGATTAAATGGGGAAAATGTATTGTGTTTTTTCTTTAAGCTTCAAAAAAATTAAAAAATTGAAACACAGGTTACTTTGTCCAGTTTCGTCAAGAGGTTATTTCTCTTTTTCTGCTATCTATTCTGTATACCAAACATAGAGATAAGTAGGTAAAAATGCTCTACCTTTTGCAAATATTGTCTGCAGGTAATTTGGACTTTGTAATGCCATGCTTGCCTTTATCCCAACGTTTTTGCATTTTTTGGTTTTGCATATCTAGAAGGATATATACTTCTGCTTCTGTGATATGGGGTGTTCCATGGAGAATCAGCTATTTTTCAGCCTTCTCCAATGTCTGCAAGGAGTTTCTTTCCTTGCTAAATTGTATTCTTTTCAGCATTCATCAAAAATTTCTCATGTACTGCTATTTGAGCTTCTTTGCTGTTTTTGTAATGCTTCAAGCATTCATAGTTTAGGCAAAAACTTACATTGTCTTTCTTGTTTGTACCTGGTTTTTTTCAGTCCTTCTTTTGAATTGACCCAGTTTATGAGAAACAGAGAATTAATCCAAAAGCCTTTGAATTAGCTCTTCTGGATACATAGGTAATTATAATTTTCCCTTCTATAAAGAAGCAGAAAAACTATTGTTCTTCTAAGCCTGTCTTCCCAGACTTCAAAGATGAACATATGAAAGAGGAAAGTTGGGATTATTTTTTCATTGCAAGAACTTGGAATAGGAGAAGACACTGTATTCCAACACTCAGAGAAAGCATACAAAGGCAAGTGTCTCCTCTACTTGTCCAAAGAAAATAAGATGAAGAGTGCCTTTCTTCAGATATCTTCTATTTCTTCCTACATTTCATAAAGAGGAAGGTGAAGATCCGACATAAAGTGTGAAAATGTTTTGTTATATTTTGCATAGCAATTGTCAAATTATTATTTTTGAGCTTTGTACGAATCAGCTGATATCTGGTCTGTGAAAAACAGGAATATTTTTCCTGTTTGGTTAAAAGTATGATTCAATTCAGACTTTTTTTCTTTTTTTCTGCTATTTCTTTGTGGTGGGAAGTGGTCAAAACCTTATACTTCCAACAGTTTCTGCCTGAATATTGTGCTCTCTTCTTTTGTGTCCTTTCCCTCCAAGTTTCGACATCATTCTCCTTCATTCAACCATAATGTAAAACCTCTTTATGGGCAGTTACAGGATGTTTTTACCTTTGGTATCTTTACTTCGCTTCCAGCATTTGCAACTCTTCTCTGTGACCTTATTTCCATCAGTATATTTTTCTTTTTGACTCCATTTTCTTATTTCTAATTTAGTTTGCCTCACCTTAGCTTGCCTAGTCCCCTGCATGGCTGCATGAGGAAGAGGTAGTCTCATGTTATTTTTAGTGGTGGATGAATAGTCTTCTATTTTTAATCAGACAGTTTTCATGTTCCATATCAGGAGTAGGCTAACGCATCCTCTCATAAATACATGAATTCCTCCTCCCTCATCCCTGTAAACACACACCTGCATAAGTGTCAATTTAGGTTTGAAATTTCAAAATATGTTAGATGGTTTAAACCAGCCTATTCTTTGGAAATTGCAGGGAATTTGTCCTTTGGTACATCAATGCAGTGATCAAAATCACTAGTCACCTCTGAAAATTAGGCCAAAAGATGCCATTTTTGAAGGATAAGAGAGAATGGAAGTGCTTTGCTTCACCCTGGGCTCTGAGAGATGCTGAGCCTGTTGAGCTGCAGTTGTTATTTCCACAATTGCATGAGGTTTATACAATAAAGGACAGTTTGGGGTAAAGCAGATGAAAGAGTGCAAGCACCCTGCCTCCTATACTGGTGGGGGTTGGAATGGTACTTTAAACTTCTTCACATGCTCCAACAGCTGCTGGGGTACCCTGGAAGCTACAGCATGTGCACTGGTGACATGTAACTTTCCCTCTCTCCTATGGCTGCACTGGAGACAGAAGAAGCATTGCTGCAAAGTGATGCAAACTTGAGGCTGTCATGAGACAGCTCCTGATATGATTTTGGTCTTCCTGGAAGATAAAGCCTTTATTTTTCTAGTCCTCAGTAACCCAGCTCCTTTCTGCTTTCCTTCCCTTGACATTATGCAGTTCAGCTTCTTTTGAGCTTGAGTATAGTAATTTCTCAAGCTATTGTATCAGCTGTGAGTCTTTTATTCTTCCTAGGAGTATGTGGCGCCTCATCTGCAGAGGACTCTGTCTCTAGAGATGCTCTGTACACCCTGTTGCTGTTCATATGCACAGTCCCTGTCTGGCAGCAGCCTGCCTCTCTTAGCCCCATGGCACAGGAGGTAAGGGGACTTCGCTTCACAACCTGTGTGACTGACAGAGGAGCAGCAGAATGAATTGGCTGTGCTCCTGTGAGCAATCTGACCATCCCAAATAGACTTGCACTACCATGACATCATATATTGTCTCTGCCTCTTCATCTCCTTCTCACTTAATCATCCGTGGAATGAGGACACACAATAGTGTGTTTGTGTATCCTTTGGGATCAGCAGCCAAGTCACCTGTGAATTATACAGGTCAACAGAAATGGAGGTTAAGATTTGGTCTACATGCATTCTTCTCGTGTCACCAGAGATTACAGACAAAACAAACAGGGATACACCATTGACATTTAGTAAATGTTATTAGAAATGCTTTATTGTAGGGAGAATGAGGAGGGATTATATCTATGAATGCAAAGCTTTTTTACTCTGATCCTGAGTCATCAGAGAGGCCGTTTTAATTGACATAAAACAACTTGTCTCAGTATAAACACACCACAGGATAAAACTGTCAAGTCGTGGTGCTTTGCAAGCATAGGAAATGTTTGGTATCAATAAAAAAAAGAGAATTGCTCCTTAAAAATACTCCTAAAACTTTTGAGTGGACTTCCAGAGTGTGCAAACATGGACAATGATTTTTTTTTTTTTTTCTGGTTTTCCCTGAAATTCAACCCTGGCCTGTCAATTTCCATTGCATTTTCTTCTATTCTTCTGAGTAGATTCTTATTTTGCAACCTGTGTTACCCAGTTTCAGGATTCCTGCCTTTAGAACTCTATTTACAACTGCAGTATGTCTGTGCATCCATTTCCCATCAGTCCTTTCCTTAGCTGCTGCCTGTGGTATACTTTTTGGATTATTTTCCTTTTTCTCTAGGAGAGTCTTTCACTTGATGGTTAAGTTTTCTGCAAGGTATCATCATGGGTCAAAACTGAAGAAACACATGATTATAGCTTAGCTCAATGTTTTCTGATTTTGTTCAGCATATAAAATAAAGCAAAAAAGGGTAATTCTGGGAAGAAAAGAAATTAGAAGCATTAATATGTCAAAATGACCCAAGGGCTTATGGGCTTGGAAACATTTTTTGCCTAACTGCAACATTTAGGCTACTAAATGAGATTACTCCTCCCTATAAACACTGTCATTTAAAGTGCTTATAGATGAATGAGAATTAGACTCAAGTAAGAAGAACCAAAGATATTTTGAAGTAAAGAAGGCATCCTATCTGTAACTGCAACCTGCTGAGACAGATAATTAGACTGTATACTGGCAAGATATAAAGAAGCTTTGAAAAAAGTGGTGCTGAGCATACAGGCAATGAAGGCAGAGAAAAAAAATGAATGTGATCATCCAACACAACCACTAAGGGCTAGAGAAAAGTCAGAATGAAAAATTACTATTGGGTATTTGAAACTGGGGAGGGGAACACTTGCTGTTAACAAATACAGAAAAATATCAATAACAAGAAGAAAGTAAATGAGAGACATTAAATTATGTAGCTCTGCCATCTACACCCTAATCAAAACAGAGAGTACATTGGATCTGGTTCTCACAACATCAAATTCTGCTTTGTTAAGGAAATGAGTGAGTCAGACTGGTATGTTTAGCTTTTTCTATTTTAATTTCTGTAACATGCCAAGGAAACTATCCATTATATTCTGCAACAAGCTATTACACATTTTCACTTCATCTTAGTGTGTATGATTTCACTGTTTATAGTATGCTGTGTTTATTTTCAACGTTGTCGAGCATTTTCAGTACAGTTTTCAACTATGAAGAAAGCAGACTCTGTGTAAGCCTCTTAGCTTGAATCTACCATTCCAAAGATGCTGGAATCTACATTTTTATTAATAGAAATAAATAAAACTATTCCTAATTCAATTCTGATGCAGAAAAACAGTGTTCCAATAGAGGAACTGTTTACTGAAAGGCTCTCAGGGAAGTTTGTTGAAACCATTACAGAGAGAGGTTGTAAACTTACCTTTTAACAAAAATATCTCTCATTTAAATTTCTACGCAAGCACAAAGAAGAAGCAGTCTAACTACTTGAATTAACTCTGCTACCTCTACACAAATTATTTCAAAATAATTTTTAGACTCTGTTAATACAAACATATTGAGAGGTTTGTCATAAATACTTCACTGATTATTATTACTATGAACAATCTGTTCATTGCATTACTGGTATTTGAAATGGAAAGACCAATTAGACCTGTTAACCCATCTTTTTGTCAGTAAGTTGATTGGGAATTACTGAAGCGTAACAATTCTAAGTGGCTTTTCATGTGAATGCCAAGCTAAAATGGATATTCACAGATGCATTAAGCATTTTTACCTGGCTCTGCATTCTTTATTTAAAGATCTACATGTTAATTTGGAGAAGTGCAACATAAACATGGTGAGCCATGGCTTGTGTGCATGCTCTTTCCAATATTTGTAAACATGTAAGTGTTGAATAATAAAATTGTAGGCCAAAGGTTGTAAAGACTAGAGTAAAGAAAATATGAATTATTTGGGTATATTGCTTTAAGAGTAATACATCTGGCAGGCATTGTAAGACTGACTCAAGAATTTGACTTCAACAATCACAGGCAAAAATTTTTGTTATGTTTTTATTTGCATGTGTTTAATAGAGGAAATTTTTATACGATCAAGACAATATTTTTTAGGCTCAGCTTTATTTCAGAAAATTACTTATGTGACCTTATAGGGGTTCTGAAAATGGCAGCCATTGAAAGATAACCACGTGAATTACCCATGGGAATGATACTTGAGATGGACAGCAAACAAGATACATAAAAAAGAGTATGTTTCTTTTACTTTATGATGTAATCTAGTCAATACATAGCTAATACTGTCAGAAAATTATTTGGCAAATAAAACTGCAGAGATGGCTGAAGAATTATTACAAAATTATTTGGAATTTGGTTTTCTTTGGAAATCAAATCACTCCTTTGAGATGGCTGGAATAAGTCAGGTGCCTGAAAAGAAAGACTGTTGTCACAGAGCCCTGATACTTCCCCAGCCTGAGCTTCCTTCATGTGAGGCTGGGAGGCAAATTGCGAGAAGGTCTGTCCCACTGCTGGTGGCATCAATTTACTTTTCATTAAGATCCACTAAAATGCATAATCTTATTCTGAATCAAAATAAAACCACATTTCCCTAACAAAATCTGTCAATCAGTTGGAATTATGTATTCCTTTGCAATTCTGCTTTTGTGGTTCCTTTAAAAAGGAAATTATTCTGAAACATAAGTTCCCTTTCATAGCCTATCTCAGTAACTCACTGGCTGCTCTTCTCTGTGCCAGCCTGGGAAGGGTAAAGTGGTGGTGCTGAATGTCAGATACACTGGCAGTACCCGAAGCCCAGCTCACCAGCACTTTAAGAAAGTTCAGACACAATTTGCCACTGTCACTTTTGTAGTTTTCTTCTCATCCTGGGGCATAAAATGCACTTTGTTTATCCTTGGACTATTCAGAGGTGATCTGCCAAAGAGATCTTTCCCTTCACATGGGGAGAGCCAGTAGCCTTGTTTCAGTAGAGATAAACAGAAAGAACAAAATGTGTTAAGACAAGGGATTGACTGAGGAGTTACAGATGTAAACTGATGTATGTATATAACACAGAACTACCATAACAGAAATACCATTTTCTGAGGGGGCAAAATCTGTCTGACCAAGACAGTCTTATAGAAATCTGTGATTTAGCTAAGTTTCTGAGATACATTTGATACAAATTTGTCAAGAAGATGCTTGTAAGGCATCCTTAAAGTCTCCTCATGAACTGAGAAGATGTTTTGGGAGAGTTGTCTCTTCTGAGGTAAAATTTTAGCCAGTTGCTTTGCAATCGTAGGAAAGAAAACAAATTCAACCTTAATAGCAACAGTAATAGAGCTATGCATGAACATTTTATAGCTTGTCTCTTTGTAAATCATTCAGGATAGAATTTAGAATATGAGCCCATCTACAGACTTTAGGAGAAGGGGAAAAAAAGCCCAAATCCAACTAGTAAGGCCAGCTAAAATATGCTGTAAGTTAAAACTTTGTATTTCACACAGAAATGAATTCCAGTATTACACTTAGTGTGTAAAATATTTATTTGGATTCAGGCCAACATTTCCATGTCTTTAATGTAAATAAGACATCTCTATGGCAGTTTTGAAGTCAGACAGCTCTATACAAAATGGCAGCAGCATTAATTAAGCATATACTTTACTAACCCCTCAGGATTCTGTGCCTATTAATCACACGTCAGAATTGTTCCTATTTAGTTGGGGATTCATCAGAGCAGTCCTGTCCCCCACTTTTACTTTGGCTGTAAAGTCAAAATTTTAAAAGGTGTTAGTGGAGCTGGAGAGGAGCACAGGAAGTCACTGAATGGAATGGTAATTTATCACCCTTTATCAGGCCTGGTTTTCTGTCTCATCAGGTAAAAGCACACTGAGTTTATGTAATTCCTGGCATGTTCAAAATGTAGATGCTGAACTGATTACTTGCTGTGACTCACCCGACTCTGGTGTTACTTGCAAGTTTGCAAGTGTTGGTGTGGAAGTGAACATATATTTAAAATAGATCTATAGTTGAAATACTGACCCTGTCTGGGTACAAGGTTTTTTTACCTAGTCACATAATTTTCAAGACATTTTAATTACTCTTGTTTCCCAGCATATATTTTTTTTCAGTATATTTGTGACATTTATTTCTCTGAATAAATATAAAATCACAACATTGCAATGAATTGTCTACTATTTTGAAACATTTTAAAAATATTAATGGTTTTTAAAATTCTTTATTATGTTGCCTCTTGAAAATCCTGAATCTCTTAATTTACTAGTTATCTGTGCTTCTTAGTCCTTTCAGCAGCAAGTATATTATTTGGACTCAGATTTTGTATGCAATAGGTTAGCATAAAAGCACTATGGTATGTTCAGCCATCTTGGCATTGTCATTTGAGGTTTTTTAATTAAAAGTCTGCCTTGGAGTATGTCAAGTGCTCCTGTATTTTTGCCATTCTTCTTATCTCTATGGCAACAAAAATATTTCAACATTTACATGGGCATCATATTCTTTGCTAATGTACTATCTGAACTGTTTGTATGCTGAGAAGGGGAGCAGCAGAGATTGGCTTCTGCAGTCTGGGATGCAGGAGTTGTCAAGACAACCAAGAGGCCTAAGGATGTCCTTACTAGTAGCATTAAATTGAAGCTTTAAATTAATTCACCCTCATGTGTTTTTGTAGCTTATGCTGTTAATTGAAATAATAGGAGTGACCTTCCCTGTACATTCAGAGCACCTGTCCTATTAAAATTGCATGTGCTGTTTACTTAAGTACACTCATCTATCAGACAAATCTAGCGTGAAATAGGGGAAAATGGAAGACACTTATATTGTACTGCTATGTATTGACTCATAGTAATAGGAGAAGCAAGCTTTTCTTGTATCTAGCTTGAGAGAGTTGTAATGAACATTTTACTCTGAAACTTCATTTATTTCTGCTTTCCACTTAAGGGCCTTAAGTCTGCATAACTCCAGACACGACAATTTGTTATATAGTGCTGAATATAATTGAAATGAATAGTTAAATTTCTTTTTTTTTTTTTTCTGTAATATATTTGAAGAAGCCAAGAATCATGTTTTCATATATGCAAGAGACTGCTTTTTCTTTCACAGCAGAAAAAACCCCAAACAGTAGAAACCCATTACTTTTTTGTTCAAATCATATTCTTGCACTGACTTAATTTTTTTTTTTTTTAAGAATTCTATAGAGGAACTGGTTGAAGCTTCTTTGCCCAGTCTTTTAGATTCTAACAGCCAAATGCATAGCCCCATAAGAGTCAAAACATTAGATAATTATATGTACATTTGGTTTCCTTATTAAAAGGAAAAAATCTGCAATCTGCTCTTTTGATGAAATCCATTACTTTAATTTTAATGGTCAAATACATCAAGTCTTCAATTACTTTTATACAGGGCAATGGTGGACAAGAATGCACAAGTTCTTAAAGGACTGAAAGTATTTCATCCTCCTCTGCAACTGGTTTAAAATGCAAGTCTCTACCCTGTATCCTGGAATACTTTTCGTCTCCTAAAGAGGGAGATGCACTCTTATTTGCCATTGCTTTTATGCTCTTAGGGAGATAATAAAGCTACAGAAAATTTGGGAATTTATTTGCCAGTACTATATTCATTGATGCACAAAACCATATAATTATACTGATGTACACCAGCTGAGAGTCAAACCAGTAAGCTAATGAACACTTGAAGAATGCTTTCTGGGGAAAAAAATGATTATTTTTTCTTCAAAGTCTAGGATACTTGCTTTATATATTACTGCAGGATTGCCAGGAGTGCTGATGGTGATTTGATCTCTCTGTATTTGAGGGCACAGGTGAAGTTTCTTGCAGACTCCTAAACACGAATACTACAGCATAAACTAGAAGTGCTATAAATTCACTTTTGT